GTACAAAGCGACCACAGTATAGGGGCCAGGCCGAGCTATACTGATTACAAGCGGCCAGAAGTTGAGATATATAGTACTAAGGTGATAAGTTGAAAGTTGTTTTAAAGTTGAAAGTTGTTTTAAAGTTGAATCCCTTAGTACTGTGTGGGCGACATGGAAATAGTCGTCCATGTCATGGTTGAATGACCAATTTGAGTAAGGTATCTAGTTAGAGATGCAGTCTTTGACTAGATACTGGAGGATGCGTGGTACTTGGGGGACAGTGGGTGGGCTAACTCCACATGTGGATTGGTGAAGCTAGCCAAGGCCGTGGTAGGCTCATACCCAAACCCTTTTGTCCTGACAATAGTACTGGACCTCCGAGTCTAATTAAGTGGCACACTTGAGAAATCTCCTATTGTTGTCTATACCTGGTTCTCTTTGGAGTTCCTAACGTTGTACTATACCTGACCTGGTGGAGATAGGTCAAACGTTGGATTCGGTAGGGTTTATGCCACCTAGACTGCTCAACCTCAGTTGTTGAAGATCTCCATGTTGTATATGCGTGACGACGCATTAAATATTAAGTTGTATCATATTGTTGTTGTTGTTGTATTAAAGTTATTTCTAAGTTGTATGAATGAGTTGGGTTTTTATGTTGAATTGTATAGTTGTTTGTGGTGATGATTGTAATACATTTATTGCATAATTGTTAATATGATGAAGTGTGTGGTGTCTTGCTTCATGATTGATTTTGAACTCTAGCTTACCCTCTTGTTTCCATGTGGATGGACTGCGATGATCATACTTTGTATGGGAGCAGGTCAGGGCCAGCTTGGAGTTGAGGTGACTGTTGCGAGACGGGGAGTTTTGATCCTCATGTTAGAATTATCACCTTGGGTAGCCGTTTGTGCTTGACCGGCACTAGGAGATAGTATTTTTGGATAACTGTATAAATACCTAATACTTAAAAATTTAATGATTCGTATATATTTTTTTAATGTTTTTGTATTTATAAGCTATCCAACTTTATTATTTATCTTAGTTCACTAGTAATAATGTGATTCCACTAAGTGTAGAGACCATGGCGGGTCGTTACAATACACATGGATATTTGTATATTTTTCAATATTCACGAATATCCATGGGTACATGTAAGTATTTACTAAAAAATATATATATCTTAAAATATTTAACAAAATATTTTAACAACACATTCTAGTTATTTGTAAGAGTTTTCTTTTTCTTATAAAAGTTATAAAAATCTAAAAAATAAAATTTGCATAATTTTTTTTGAAGATTATAACTAAAATTCAAATAAAATCTGCATTTATAAAAGGTTTTGAAGATTATAAAATTAAAATTCAAATATTCTTTACAATTATATTAATAACAATAAGTGGACTTAGAAACTGAATTTTAAACGTTCAATCACATAAGTTTAATGTTGAAATAATAATTGTTAAAATAAATTATTTTGGTTACATATAAATCAAAATAAGAGATAATAAAGTACAATACTTAACTATTAAGTCAAAATAAAATCACTCATCATAAAAAAAAAATTGTTATAAGTCTAAACAAAATCTAAATAAAATCAAATTCATACAAATTTAAATAAAATTATAAAACTCAATAAAATCACGCCCTACAATTTTGAAAGCAACTTAAGAATTAAAATATTAGTGGATTCAACACAACAAAGTCAATACATATATATATATATATATATATATATATATATATATTGGAATATTTGTATAAATTAAATATTAATAATTACAAGTATTTACGAGTACAAATAATATGATATTCATACTCATTCCATTAACATACAAGTATAAAAAAATATTAAAACCTATTATCCTTCCATTTATAATATTTATTTTCTACCCATACTTGCAAGTACAATTTTTTTTTTAAATATTCCAAGTCAAAACAACATTATATAAAATAAATAAATATTTAATTATTTGTCTAAAAATTGACCAAAATTAACTAATATCCTTAAGTTAGTTAATTAAATTTGTTAACATGATTTAGCATATAAAAACAAAAATATTATTTTTTAAAACTGTTTGATGAACTATCCCGATCCGTCAAAGAAAAGATTATGACAAGCCATCAGAGGGGGCGGCCATCCATGCCTCATTATTGGTGCCAGCTCCATTTACCATTTTTTAATTAATACATTATATATAGTGAGAGGAAGAGAAAAAGAAAAGAGTTATAATAATACTAGCGTAATTTTTACTAAATATTACACCGCTTAATAATTTTATATTAAATGTGAATTTTGTAAATTCATCCGTTAGATTAAAAGTTTTTTATTCTTAAATCATATATACAAAATTTTATATTAATCTAAGATAATTTAATACTTCATTCATATAAAATAAAATTAACGTAATATATATATTTCAATAATATGAACATTTTGATTACCTTCAAGTTGTTGTTCAATTTTAACAAAATTTGATATAAACATATAAAATGATATGAACTTTCAATTTAACGTTTGAATTTACAAAAGTCATATTTAATATAAAGTTATTGAGCGATATAATTCTTAATAAAAGTTAAATTGATGTTATTATAACTCTTCTTTTATATATATATATATATAGTATGTGTAGTATACATATAAAATATTTATTATATTTAATTAAAATTTATAATAAATTATATATAAATAAATATTATATTTAAATATATATAGATTATATTTTAAATTTATGATAAATAATTTAAATTGTACTATAATATTTTTTTACTTATTGATAATTTATTTTAAAATATTAAATTTAATCTATGAATAATTATGATAAATAAAAATTAAATCAAATAAGAAAGAGAATGACAATAGATAGGGTTTTGGTAGGATCATATAATATATATTATTTTTATTTATTAGTAATTTATTTTAAAATATTAAAATTTAATTTATAAATAATTATAATAAATAAAAATTAACATAAAAAAAATCTCTAAAAACTCTTCAATTAAAAAATTAAAAATAATTTTAAATTAAATAAATTTTTATGTTTATTATATAAAAATTGATTCGATCCCACCATTAGTACCTAATTGAAGTTGAATATATATGGAATCGTGCAATATTCCATGTGTTCCGTGAACGTAATGCAAAATTTTTCTTATATAATATTATTCTTTTTATTTTTCACTTCTTTAAAATATATTATAATAAGAAAAAAAATCCCAATATTATAAAAATTGGTTTTTTTTTTCTTATTATGGAATCGTGCAATATTGCATGTGTTCCGTGAACGTAATACAAAATTTTTCTTATATAATATTATCCTTGTTATTTTTCACTTATTTAAAATATATTATAATAAGAAAAAATCCCAATATTATAAAAAAATGTTTTTTTCTTATTTAATATTACTCACGTGACTATTCTTATTTTAAACATAACAAATAAAATTAAAAAATCTAATTCAATTAGTTGAGTAGCAGAGTTGTTATAAATCTTTTAGTATTGGGTTTGAATTTTATGAATAAAAAATATATTATTATTTTTTTTATATATTTCTGATGTTCATATTTAAATTTTTTAAAATATACATGATCTTTTTATATTTAATTTTGTTTAGTTTTATACATGATCTTTTGAAAAAACATTTATCCCCGAAAACTCAACGTGTTATAAGCTAAGCTACGTAATAAATGTTTGAAAATCTATTTGCGTCTTTTCACTAACAAAAAGAGTAACATTTTTTTATTCACAGTATGCTGAATTTTTGGAATTCAACAATTAACTAAACACATTCACTGTGGTAGTTGTTCATTCAAACTTTTCGGCGAAGGTACATTGTATAGTCCTCGATTCAAACAATTAATTATCACACGAATTCAATCTTTTAAAATAATCATTTTAAATAAAATATTAGTATATTTTTGCCCATACTATTTTTAATGCTGCATTTTTCTTTAGTATTTTTTTAACAATGCTAATTTTAATTTTACCGTTATACAAGATCAAGCATCTAAGAAATTTTTTTACCGTTATTAATTTCCTAATGCTGTAACACTTAACAGGGGAGGCAATTTTTGTACGGGCATAAATTAGTTGTAAAACATAAATTTAAAATTTTTGTTTCTTCCATAAGGGCGCTTGAAAAAGAAACAACATGGCTCTCAAAAAGGACGTAGGATTAAGCTATAAAGATAGGTTTTAGTCTCTTAAATTTAGTCTCTAAAAAATTGTTTTAATTTCTCAACTCATTAATAACATATTTCAAACTAACATATGGAAGAATTAAAATAAAATTTAATTTAAATTTGAGAAATAAAAAATATATTTAAACTTATTGAATATATTACTAGCATTCATTATAATTTTTAAGCTTAAATATATTTTTAGTTAACGCAAAATGATTCAAAAATTCAAAATCATGATTTTATTCATTAATGTAACATTTTTAACTACTTGTGTTTATTAGAAGGTTATGTATTTTTTTGTGTGGTGCAAATAATTGATAGGTCTTAGAGTGTCAATGTTGTTGAGATGCTTTAATAATGCTTTACATGTTAATAATTTCTATTTAAAAAAAGAAGAAGAAGGTTATGTGAGAATCTCAAATAATAGCTACAATTATTTGTAATACTTTATCGGTGACATTTCTAAATCTTTTTATAAATCTTTAAAATTATCATTAGTTAGAGACCAAAAATAATTACTTTAAATTCTAAAGGGATAAGAACAAAAAAAAAATACTTTACAAAAATTAAAACCAAAATTTACTTATTTTACAAAGATTAAAAATAAAATTTTCAAATTTTAAAAGATGAAAAATAAAGAAATTTTTTACGGGAATTAAAATTAGAATTGAGTCGATTTACACTTATGTTTAAAACTAATTTTGAATAATCATCTTTAAATGACGGTTCTAGAATTATAATCACCCGGCGTCTTTGATTAATATTTAATTAATTATAGTGAGAGACATGGAATAAACAAAGGGAAGAAATGCATAGAGATCAAAGTTAGTGTTCTATATAAATGGTACTCAAAGTATTGGTCTGCACCCCAAAGCCATCGGTGTTTTGATTGCCTATACAAAACAAGAAAGAGAGTCGTTACTTGTTTGAACAATGGCTGCAAAAGATAGGATCCTTGTTCTGGGAGCTACAGGATCCATGGGAAGACACGTAGTATGGGCAAGTGTTAAGGCTGGCAATCCCACATATGTCTTGGTCAGGAATACCCCTGGCGCTAAGAGCAATGTACGCCTTGTCAAAGCTGCTAATCCTGAAACCAAGGAAGAGCTCCTTCAGAGCTTCATCAATTCTGGTGTTAACATAATCGAGGTACATACATACGTGCTTTCATTTCAATACCAATTTCTTGCTCAATAATTTTTCTCATTATTGGATTCTGTAGGGAGATATGAACGATCATGAAACTCTGGTTAATGCAATCAAGCAAGTTCATACTGTAATATGCACTCTTGGTAAACAACTAATAGGAGATCAGGTGAAGATCATTGAAGCAATCAAAGAAGCTGGCAACGTCAAGGTGCGTATTTCACTTCTTAGACTTACACTATGCCTATGGTATACTTTACATTAATTAAATTGTAAAGTTATATTAAATTATGCACCAACTTCCACCCAGAAATGGACAATAAAATATTGCTAATGTCCAAAATATAAGATACCACACATGTTACTAACATACTTAAAATAAATATATAATATTATTATAATATTATTATTTTAAAAATATATAATTTGTTATTGAATAGTATTATTCTGAACAAATAATTATCTAAATATTAACATTATTATATATATATATATGATCAAGTCAGATATCGTGGATAAAAAATACAAAACTAGTTATTTAGATAGTATAATTTCAAATTTTCATCGAATTGAGTTGAGTATTAAAAAAATCTGATTTAAACTCATTAATTTTAATTAGTTCAGATTTGCAGATTTTCTGTACTTGTCTACACCCCAAATTCTCTTAACTTGTGTTTGACTCATTAAAAAAATGTTCAAGTTGTGTGCAAAAGGTGTCTCAGATGTGTCAAAGAGGTGCTAAAAACAAATAATAATAATCTTTAATGATGGTACAGTAGAGAAGTGTTGGATGGTGTTCAAGATGTGTCCAACAAATACCCTGTCGGAAACGTTGACACATGATGTGTTTTGCAGAAGTGTTTGTAGTTGATAGTTAATCACTTTAACCTATAATTTCTTCATTTCATTTGTGAACAGAGATTTTTTCCATCTGAATTTGGGTTGGATGTGGACCGTCACGAAGCAGTGGAGCCATTTAGAGAAATTTGCGAGGAAAAAGCAAAAATACGAAGAATGATTGAAGCCGAAGGAATTCCTTATACTTACATATGTTGCTTTGCCTTTACTGGTTACTACTTACGTAACCTGTGGCAGCTTGACACTGTTGTCCCTCCTCGGAACAAGGTAGTCATAGTAGGAAATGGAAACGTGAAAGGTAATATATATAGTTGAATTAGTTGCAAACGTTTTGTTTTAGCACAAGTGATGTATATTAACTAGACACAAGACACAACTCAATTGCTTCAATGTGTTCATAACTACATATTATAATTTACTTGCGTTCAGGAGCATTTGTGACTGAGGCTGATGTGGGCACTTTCACCATCGAAGCAGCGAACGATCCTAGAGCCTTGAACAAAGCCGTCCACATAAGGCTCCCTGCCAATTATTTGACCTCAGATGAAATCATCCCTTTGTGGGAGAAAAAGATTGGGAAGACTCTTGAGAAAATTTATGTTCCAGAGGAACAAGTTCTCAAGGAAATTCAGAGTAAGTAACAACATTCATTTTATAGGAGTAATGTTACATCATTTTTGTGAAACTAACCATCTCTTTATTTATGATGTTTTTCCTTTTCTGCAGAGTCTTCTTTCCCAAATAATTACCTCTTGGCGTTGTATCACTCACAGTTGATAAAGGGAGATGCGGTTTATGAGATTGACCCAGCCAAAGACATTGAAGCATCTGAGTTTTATCCCCATGTGAAATACACAACCGTTGATGAATATTTTAATCAGTTTGTCTGATTTTTTAATTACCCAACTTTAATAACTCTGCTTTGCTTCTGCCTAATAAAACAGGATAAAACTAGGTCTTGTTGGTAATGTTAATTAAAGAAAAGTATCATAAGTAAACAAATGTTATTTTAACTTTTTTGCCTCAGTTATTTCAATAAAGGCATGCAGGGTTTGTAGTTTGCCAGCACTACCATTCTACCATTGTGTTTGTTCTGAGCTCATAAGTTAAAAGTGCATCTCCACATTAATGCAATATTCTACCAAAAGAATGACTTTAATAGAACGGTGCCTTTATCTACGTAAGATTATGTAAAGGAGAGATATAATTGCAGTTTTTGATTTTCCAAATATATATATATATATATAAAAGATGTTAGAAAAGAAAACTGAAGCAGATAACTTGAAGATCATTTTTTTTTAAAATAAAAGACGTTATGTCACTTATGTGGCTTTATTTAATCATATTTTATTTGATTTTATGCCTTAATATAAAAAGATGCACCATCTTTAGTCATATATACACACAGCGTTCGAAGTTGGCTGGCTTTTTTTTATATAACTAAAAGTTATGGGGCATGACAAATATACTCGATCATTAATTACATGTAAGAATAAAATGAATTAAGTTTATGCGGTGTTCAACATTTAACCAATTTGGATTGGTTCTAGTGGTGATTAATGTTGCTTAATTAAGTAGTAAAGGATGGAATTTTAACTTTAGTAAATATAAAAAATTTAAATTGAAAAAATATGTCCTTTTATTTAGTACATATCAAATTTCTTAAAGAGATTTTCTTTCTGTTGAATACTCCATATTAATGAAAAGTTACATTTTGTATATTAATTAATTAAACAAAGTGGTCCAGTACTGCGGCAATTATAATATTTGTAGAATCTCAAAGGATCATGAATGCATAAAAGGTGGAGCCGTCAAATTGGCTAATTCAGTCCATCCAGTCTATCAGGTTGGAATATAAGTGTATCAATCCGATTTAGCTCACTATATATTGGTGTGTTAAATAAATTAACTCACTTAAATTTTAGAAAAAAATAATTAAATTTTATAAAAAATATATATTATAATATTATATTTTAAAATTACAATTATATTAATAAATTTGACAAATAAGATATAAAAAAAAATATATCATTAACAACCAACTTATAAAATCAAAATTGTTACATAAAATATTAATAAATAATATCAAATAAATATTAATTATTATAATTCATAATTAGTATATAAAATATTTAGTCAATAATATAAATATATAATCACATAAACTAATATTTAAAAACATAAAAACAAAATAAAATAATATATTAGGTGAGTGAATCCGAGTCATAGTTCTACTAAACCTGACTCATGGTTGAGTTGTAGCGAGTAAATGATGGACATATTTTATCTCCCTTTAACAGTTGTACTAAAACGTGAAGCAGTTAAATAATTGGCAGACCGATAAATTAGTGGTCGACATTGGTGGCCTCCATCTCCTTCAACACAATCCTCGCATGAGCAGATGCAATTATGCATCAATGAAGAAACTATAAGTTTGTTAATTAGGCATAACCCCTGATTGGTCCAGAGAAGCGTAGGTATCAGAACAAAAACAATTTGTTAAATCGGTATTCAGTCTCCAAAAACTAGCTAACTGCTGCACTAGTGTGGTGTATTTGAAGCTAGGGTTTTCTTTATCCACGTTGGACTTCGGATAAATGCAAGAGAGGGCAATTCAACTCATGATTTTCTTCGATTACAAATTTGATTTTCAATTCAATCGATTAATTTCATTTATTTTTTTCAGTAAAAAAAAATACAAAGACAACAACTAAATCTAAAACTTTATGTATATTAACATTTTAGTTTATGAAATTAACAGACTAAATATTTATATATAACTAAAATTTATAATAAATTAATTGTAAATATAAATAAATATTATATTTGAATAAATAAATTATATTTAAAATTTGTATGAAATGATATTCTTGAGCATATAAATTATTTTTTTATTTATAAAAATATGTAAATTATATTTTAGATTTATGATAAATAATATATATTATAGTATAATATTATTTTTATTTATTGATAATTTATTTTTAAAATATTAAAATTTAATTCCTAAATAATTATAATAAATAAATAAAAATTAAATAAGAAGTTAAAATATCTCTAGAAACCCTTTTGTCGAAGATAAACTCTTAAAAATAGTCTCATTCAAAATAACGATCTTAAATATTAATTATTCAAATCTGACAATTACATCATTCTAATAGTTCAATTGTGTATTATTATTTTTTTTAATAAAAAAGCTCATATTTTACAAAGACAATTTTAATAAGATTTGTAAAAGTTTGAATTTAGATTGTTTTAAATGAATAGTTTAAAATTAAAGAAAATAGTAATCGTTTATTCTTTAATTTTTATTTTAAGAAACAAGAATACAAAAACATAAGGAAAATGAGTTGAATCAAATGAGAAAAGTATTAAAATTAAATTTCATCCAACTTCATGTAGAATTCTTCATACAGGTATAATTTAATTAATTTTTTTTTACTTTGCCAATAAGATTTACTAATTTATTTAAATTGTTATTCCATGAAAATTGAATCATTTTTCTAATTAAAAATTTTGTGTTGGATTCAACACTTACTACTAGACCAAAAAGTTATAACAACTCTTTCTATTTAGTCGTAACAGCTTAAGTGTCACGTGTCAACTGTGACTTGACCTATCTAAATTTCTGCCACAGAATAATTAATATCACCTGGGAAACATTTTTGTTTCCTTGGATGAAATTAAGAGAAATCAAGTTTTAAGAGTGAACATTGTTGGTGTAAAAAAAAATTGAACATTATTAACGGATTTTGGTCTCTAATAATTAATTATTCATGACTTAAATGATTATTAAAGATAATTAAATCTTAATAAATATTAAGTATAATCATTTTTTTTTCATTAAAACCCAATTTAGAAATGTTAATTACATTGAAATTCGCTTAACGCCAATAGAAAGAAGTTTAGTTTAGACAGAGAAAATACTCCTGTAACTCCTAGTTAGAGAAAGCGGAAGAGGTGTTGCTAAGAATATTGAGAAGAGAAAAGGATCTTTAATTCTCTTAGGGTTTATTTAATTTAAGAAAGAAAGTAAGAGGATAAAAAAAAGGAAAATGAGGTAATTTTTCATATTATTTGGTATGAGAAAAAATAAATGAATTGATAAAATCAATTTTATCTTTCATTTAATCTGATTCACGATCACCCCTGACTTTACATGGTGAAACGGATTCACTCTTATTTATATTTCCTATTTACTAATTTTAGTGACTGAATTACATGTGATTGCTATTTTTTTCACTTATTTATGAGTAGCTGATTGGTACCGACTTTTGGTTGCTATTCTGCCGCAACGTGGTTAATAGAAAATATTTTGAAAATTAGACACTTTGGAAGGAAAAGTTTGTTGCTGAATAACCATTTAGCCACTATAACTATATATATATATATATATAATTAAATATATAATTTAGTCACCATAACTATATACTGATCAGTCAAATAATATAATATGTAATATCAAAAGTCATTTTTCTAAGTGATATTAAATTTAATCCCCTTATAAAAAGATTTTAGTTTCAAATTTTGTAAATGAGAAAAAAAAATATAATTGGAAAAAGAAATCTTAATTAAAATGATCGATCAATCAAGTTTTCAATAAAAATTAGTTATCAATAAAAATAATGAAAACTTCGATCAATAAATAACACAATTAAAAAAATTTAATATGTATTAGTCTTTTTTTTTAATGTGAGTATAAAAAAACTATAAAAATAATTAGAACTTAATATTTTAAGAAATTATCTAAACTTTTTAATCTCTAACACTGTGTTTTGGGAAAGGGAAAGTTGATGAGAAAGGAATGAAAGAATAAAGAAGTGAGCGAAGGTCAAAATATTGAGTACATTTGGAAAGATGGAAAAATAGAGAATTGTGTTCAATTGAGTGTGGACCCATGTGAAAAAAACTTATTTAAAATGAAGGAAAGTACGGGGAAGTTTGCTTTTTATAAAACAAAAAGGGGGAGGAGTTATGAAAATAATTATATATTATTAAATAAAATTATTTATAAAAATTAAACCTCCCAATAATAGTAAATAAATAAATATAATAATAATAGCAAAAAAATTTATTTATTATTTATAAAAGTTAAAGTTCTAATAATAATAAATACTATAATAATAAAATAATTTTATTTCTTATTTAAAAATTATTAATAAAAAATAAACTTCTATTCTATTTTCTTTATTTTTCCTTTATCAAACAACCTTAATTTTTACTCTCTTTTTTTTAACCTATTTTTCTATGTTTTTTCACACTTCTCTTTTCTTCTTTTTTCTTCATTTATTTCTTCTTTACTAAACAAAGGCTAAGCCAATTTTAGTAGGGTTATAAGTGGGTCGAGTTGCATCAAGTTTAACAGATTGGGTTTGTGCAAAAAAAAATTTAAACCCAACCCAACCCAACTTTATCCGATCAGGAACAGGTTGGGTTGGGTTAAATTAATCGGATCAACATAATTATATTTATTTATTTATTTTAAAATTTTAAATATTTCAAAATATATGTAAATCATTTGATACATTGTTACAAATACAATGTTATCAATTTATAAAGAAAATAATAATATAAATTAAATTTTAAAATAAATTTATTACATTATTATCAACTAAAAAAATTAATATTTATTAATATAAAATAAAATTTAAAATAAATATATTATATTGTTACAATACTAACAATCAAAAACATAAAACTCGTTATTAAGTAAAATTTAAAGTAAGTATTATCCTAAACAAATAATCATTCAAATACTATTATTATTATTATTATTATTATTATATAACAAGATTACCTAACTCATGTAATGTCAGGTTTTGATTAAATTGAATTGAGTCTAAGTCGAATACTAAAAAAATTCAGTCTAAATTATATTAGTTTAACTCAGTTTAAACTCGTGAGTTATACATATCTATTTACATCCCTAAATTTTATTTAGAGTAATAATAGTCTCTCTATTAATTTTTTTATTTGAATTGCAAGAGTAGGTAAGAATAGGCTGTTCAAACCATTTATAATAATTCACACATATTCAAACTTTTTATATTTAATCAATTTAAATAAAATAATTAGTATTTCCCTCAAGTACGTAAGCCGGCGACGCCTTGATCCCAATGCAACCATTTAATCAAAAGAAAAATACTTGCACTATTTTAAATGCTGTTTTTTTTTTTTTTTTTGGTTTAACGGTGCTGATTTTGCATTCTACCGCTATACAAGATAAAAAATTCAAGATGGTTATTTATCTAATGCTGTAACAATAGGGATGCAATTTTTGTACGGGCTTAGATTAGTTGTGTATCATAAATTATTTTAATAGTTGATTATTGAAAATCATTATATGTGTAATCTATAATTCTATAAACTATAACTATAATAATGGGAAATAAACTTTTTGTGCATATAATTTGTCCAATTTTACTCTTATAATTATATTTTTTATAAGTTACAATTTGTAATTCTTTATTGTAAATTTTACTGCTCATACCTTCATTTAATCATATGTTATTATATAATTTTTATAATTTTTTTTTAAAATTTGCAGAAACATAAAATACCTTTCGTATACTAGTCCTAATAAAGTTGATAGTCCGTACACATTTCATTTCTAAAACTACCCCATAAATTACCTCTCTTTTTTTATTTTAAATTCCATAGGTTAAAAACCATTCATACCTTTTAAATAAACAATCCCACTTCACTATTTTTTTTTTTTTTGTTTTTTTAAATGAGAGACACACCTTTAAAATAACTACCAATTTTTTTTTTCTTTTTATTTTTTTAAATGAGAGGGGTATAAAGTACATTTTTTCGTTAATGTGTAATATATATATATATATATATACACTTTTTTTTAATAAGTACACCTCTTTATTTTTTTTTAAAAAATATAAATATGTTTATTTTTTAATTTTTTAATTTTACATCTCCAACATTCAATTTAACACTCAATTTTTATATATATATATATATATATTACATATTAGTTAATGTTACAGAATTTGATTTTTTTTGCGCGTTCAATAGTAATAATGAGAATGAAACTTTTAGATAAATATGATATTAATACCAAGTATTTATCGCTATATTTTTAGTAATGAAATCGTGAATGCGCATAATATCATATTTACCTAAGCAAATTTAATACTTATTAAAATTGAATCGATTGAACTTTGAGTTAATAGTCTTAAATTTAATATTTTTGTTTCTAAGCAAACCTGAAGCAACATCGATACGGTCAAATGGATGATCTAGAATTGAGATCACCAGCGGTCGCTTGACGGAAACAAAAATAAATATTATTCGGTTAATTGACATGAGAAAGATGAAATAAACAAAGGAAAAAATGCTTATAGATCAAGGTTAGTGTACTATAAATACCACCCAAAGTATTGGTGTACACCACAAAGTCATTGGTAGTAGTTAGATAACTTCACTAAAAAAACAAACATCGATTGTTTGAACTTTGAAAACAATGGGTGGGAAAGATAGAATCCTTGTTCTGGGAGCCACAGGAGCCATGGGAAGACACATAGTATGGGCAAGTGTTAAGGCTGGCAATCCCACATATGTCTTGGTCAGGAACACCCCTGGCAATAACAACAAGATAAGCCTTATCAAATCTGCTAATCCTGAAACCAAGGAAGAGCTCATCCAGAACTTCAAAAATTCTGGGGTTAATATAATCGAGGTACGTAACTAGGTGCTTTCATTTCAATACCAATTTCTGATGTTTGTAACTAAATGATTGCTCTCATGCAGGGAGATATGATGGATCATAGAACTCTGGTTAAGGCAATCAAGCAAGTTGATGTTGTAATTTGCACTGTTGGTAGACTACTAATTGAAGATCAAGTGAAGATCATTGCAGCAATAAAAGAAGCTGGAAACATCAAGGTAAGTATTTCCATTCTTAGACTCACATGCACTATGCTATACGTTATATTAAATTGTAAATTTACACTATGCTATAATCTTACTTATGGGACTGTCATGACTTTAACCAATAGAGATTCTCAATTTCATTTGTCAACAGAGATTTTTCCCATCTGAATTTGGGTTGGATGTTGACCGTCAAGATGCAGTTGACCCTGTAAGAGAAGTTTTCGAGGCAAAAGCAAAAATCCGAAGAGTGATCGAAGCTGAAGGAGTTCCTTACACTTACCTTTGTTGTCATGCATTTACTGGTTACTTCTTACGTAACCTGTCGCAGGTTGACACTGCTGTTCCTCCTCGAGACAAGGTGGTTATTCTAGGAGATGGAAATGTAAAAGGTAATAATTAAATATAGTTGAGTTAGTTAAAAACGTTTTTGTTATAGCACAAGGGATTAATAACGTGCACAATTCAATTTCATCAACGTGTACATTATATTATTGTTTACTTTTGTTTCAGGAGCGTATGTGACTGAGGCTGATGTTGGGACTTATACCATCGAAGCAACGAATGACCCTAGAACCTTGAACAAATCCGTACACATAAGACTCCCTGCCAATTATTTGACCTTAAATGAAGTCATCTCTTTGTGGGAGAAAAAGATTGGGAAGACTCTTGAGAAAACTTATGTTACAGAAAAACAAGTTCTAAAGGACATTAAGCGTTAGTAACACTACAACACTCATTTTAAGACTAAACAAATTCATTTTATAGCATAAGATATTATTACATTTGTACATGTTACATATCAATTATGTGAAACTAAGCATCTCTTTACTTATAATGTTTTTGCTTTACTGCAGAGTCTCCCTTACCAAATAACTATCTGCTGGCATTGTTCCACTCACAACAGATAAAGGGAGATGCAGTATATGAGATTGACCCTTCCAAAGACGTTGAGGCTTCTGAGTTTTATCCTCACGTGAAATACACCACCGTCGATGAATATTTGAACCAATTTGTCTGATTTCTGAAAGCTGAAGAATTATTAACGCACTTTTATCACTCTACTACTGCTTAATAAAACAAATGTTTTTTTTCCTTTTTTTTTTTTTTAATAAAGGCATGAATTTGCACATCGAGTACTACCAGTCAACCATTGTGTTTGTTATGAACTCAATATTATCTCCACATTGATGTAATATATTCTACCAGTAAAACAACAAATTTACTATTGCTTGCACTGTGCAAATCATGTCTGCATTCTTTTCTCAATTTTTTATATCACTCTTAGTTTGGAGTAGATTGTTTGACCTTAACGCGGGAACGTCAACATGCAGTTCTTATTATATATACACCGTTGAATTAATTATTTACAGGATAATACTTCTTTAACAATATCTACATAAAAAATTAAAGGAACTATGATTTAGGTATTGTCAAATTCTCATGAATAGAAACTGGAGATCGCCCATTAACAGGATTTTATGGTCAGGTGAAAGTATAAGTTCACTTGGACAAAAATGAATTATATTTAAAAAATAATGATTAAAATTAATAGAAAAATAATTAAATATATATAAAAGAAAAGAAAAGAAAAGAAAAGAAAAGAAAAGAAAAGGAAAGCGAAATCATTGATAAGAAACTACCATAAAAAAACAACAATAAAAATCTAGAAGATACTCTTAAATTTATTATGAGCGTATTTCGCTGAAAATTTCCCATCACCAATATACAGTCTTGTTGCCAATTTTCAAATATTTTTTTTTTGCCACCAATCCATTGTTTTTTGTCCTTCTATAACATCATATAGCTACAATTTAACAAGAAATTTTTAATACTATAAATAATTACTGTAAAATTCTGTTGACAGAATTTGTGGAAAAAAATTACTACATATAAAATTTTATTAACATAATTTTTAGTAAAAAAAATTAAATAACTAAATTAATTCTATTCACATAGGTTTTGAAAAGAAAAATTAATTTTAAAAATTTAGATATTAGAAAATTGAGATGAAGAACAGAACGAATTAGATGATGAACTTTTACATCAAACTGTCAATAAATATATAACATGATTTAGGCCGAAATGAACCTTTATCCTTGTAAGACTATTTAATGGAGATATAATTGAGTTTTTTGATCTTTCATGTCTTTATGCACTATATATATTGATCTTCTTTAATAAAATGTTAGGAACAAAAATTTGATGCATGTAATTTGGAGATGATGTATAAGATTCATAACCTTTTTGATAATAATTAAGTATTCTTTCAAAAAAAATTGTTGTACTTTCAGAATCTTATATTCATTCGAGTTATGACTATTATATATTTTATGTTTTTATTTTGTTAACATAATATGTAGACTCATTTATTATTAGAAAAAATCTAACATTAAAAAGAAAATAAAATAATTATAATTGAAGAGACTTATCAAAAGAATCATCCATCAATCGTCTTCATATATGAAGTTGGAGGGAAAAGAATGGTAATTTGATCTTCGTATTATTCTAAAGTAAAAATAAAATAAAAGAAGTTGAGAGAAAAAGAGAAGAAATCTGTATAAAATAAGAATGAGATGTTGACTTCGTGATAGTGAGAGTATTTATTAAAAATTGAAGATAAAAAAATCTATAAAAAAAAGTTGTACATCAAAATATTCTCTCTCTATATATATATATATTATTGAACAAGGATGTTTTAAAGATTTTTTCTTTTCAACAAAGATATTTTAAAATTCTTAATTTTTTTATCTCCTTAAGTCGTATTTTTTTTATATATCTTTATTTTAAATTTCAAATTATAAATTTTTAAAAACAACTTTATATCAATATATACGTTACTTATATAGATATAAAATATAAATTGTATGTTTAAAATATTTTTTTTATAAATTTTGTTTATATAAAATAAATATTTAATAACATGTATGATACACATATTAAAATACTAGTTATAATAATTATAGAGTAGAATAATCCATCTTTATATATTAAAAATGAATGTTTTTCTTTACGTAAGAGTATTTTTAGAAATTTTTTTAATAAGATAATTTAAAAAAAAATAATTTCTTATATAATTAAATTCTTATTTATTATCATTATTTATAAATTAAATTTTATCATTCTAAAATATATTATCAATAAATAAAAATAACTATGTATTACAATATAAATTATTTATCATAAATCAAAAATATAATTTATATATTTAAAAATATCTATTTATATAAATTTTAAATATAATTTATATGTTCAAATATAATATTTATTTATATA